CATGTGATAACAACATCAAAAGCAATAGCATTGGGTCTAGCTGGGAGTGCATAAAAACGGGCATGACCGCCACCTGATCGACCTCCCCCTTTGGGGCGACCCCTAAGTGACTGACCTCCACCCCTAGCTGGATGACCTCTACCCCTAGCTGGTTGGCGGGTGGTGGTGAAGTAACTGGTGCTGAAGTCGATGGCTGGCTCCTCTGCTAACACAAACCCTCAAGACAACGAGGACACTGCCTCCACATATGACCCATCTCTCCACACTGCTATCAACCCCCGAGTGCTGGAGACATGGACTGATGGGAACCCCTAGCAATGAAATGGCTAGCAGAGGCACCTAGCATAAAAGAGCCCTGAACTGATGGAGCACGGGACGAACTCTAAGTTGGAAGGGCACTAAGTGATGACTGGCCCTGATGAGAACTATGAGAACAATGACCCGATGACGCCCCACGATAACCTGGGCGAGCTGGCTAAGCATGCTTGAATGGACGACCTCTACCGTGCTGAAACTGACATCTCGAAGGAGCACCACTATTACTACCAGATCCTCGAGGCCTCTTGGCCTCCCTCTCCTTTCTCTCCTGGTGACGAATCGACTCAATCTCATGAGCAATGTCCACAACCTCCTCAAAAGTCGCATTAGTCACCCTTTCCCTGGTCATGAGAATACAAAGCTGATAAGTGAGGCCATCAACAAACCTCCTAATCCTCTCTCTATCCGTCGGATCCAACCAAATAGCATGATGAGATAACTCGTAGAACCTCATCTCATACTACATCACAATCATCTCTTCCTAACGCAACCACTCAAACTGCCTGTGCAGCTCCTTTCTGCGAGACCGTGCATACTTCTCCAAAAAGAGAACGGAGAACTGCTGCCAGGTAAGGGGTGTTGCACCAACAGGCCTACACTTCTCAAAAGTCTCCCACCAAGTGAATGCAGCTCTAGAAAACTGATAAGTTGTGAAAGTGACCTCGCTGGTCTCCAAAATACCTGTTGTACGAAGCATCCTCTAACATTTATCCAAGAAACCCTGGTCATCCTCGCCCTCTGCACCACTGAAGGTCGGAGGCTGAAGTCTACCAAACCTCTCCAACCTATGCTACTCCTCCTCTGGCATGGCAGGAACTACAGAGTCCTGAGTAGCTGCAACCGGCTGGGCTGGATGCGCCCCCGGTGTCTGAAGTCCCTACACGACCTGCTCAGGTGTGCGAGCGGCGGGACTCTAAGTGCCTCCCCCGGCCTAAGAAGTAGTTGCGGCTGTAGTAACTGAGACCGCCTGAGCTAGGCCAGTGCATACTTATAGAATCTGAGCCAAGGCCTCCTGAAGACCCAAAATCACAATGGGCGCAGCTGGTACCTGAGCTGGTGCTTGCTGGAGCATCCACAACTGGAACCTGATACTGAAATGGGGCGGCTGGTGGATCTGCAGGTGCTGCCCTAGCTATTGTGTGGGCCACACCTCTGCCCCTACCGCGACCAAGACCGCGTCCTCGACCTCTAGTGGCCAAAACTGGTGGT